TGGCCGGAGTGGGAGTAGGAGTTACTGCATGCCGAATGTGGAGCAATAGTTGGCAATGATTCTTTTAGGCAAACTAACCCACATGTGGGAACAGCAATAGATATGTACATCCTTACACTGTGAATATTTTTATTGTCCTGTTTTGGAATTATACCATAGATATGATTTCAAAAAAGACTTTCTTAAAGTCTTGCCAAACGTTTGGATATTTTTTAAAATATTTTTTAATAAATTATTATTATTATAAGTTTTTTGATAGTCCTTTTTCCCTGTAACCTATATGCACTTCTTGTGGTCCATATATTTGCACCACTTTTTTGTATGCCACTTCAGACTCCCCCACTCTAGTAGTAGTATTGTAATGCATTTACCATGGGGCACAAAACTTTCTGCCCGGCTCTCGATGCAAATGTGTGCACTCTCCCGAGCGCCCTGAATTATTTATTACATTTTCACTCTATATGCACAAGTCAAAGTTGTCTAAGCAAGACTTAAGTCCAAAAATAAAATGGAAGCTAAAAAAAAACGCAAGTTTTCCAGGAATGTTTGAATGCATCATGACTCTTGAACATTTCTCTGGTCAAAATCATCGGATGGTGGACTGTGGGGTGTTGGCAGCAATTAGAAAGAGTGTCACTTCAACACACCACCTCAAAAAAAAAAAAAAAACCAAACAGGATAACAAAAAATATAAGTGAGTCATTGCCAAACACCCTCTGTCTGGGATAGAGGAGAATAAAATGGTACAATTTATGGGTTGTTTCGGGTTGTTTCTCCTGTTGTTATAGCAGTTGTTGGGTGAGTGTGCGTCGTTATGATTCATAACTAAACAAGACCAACGAAAGAACTTCTCGACAACATCCCCGGAAACAATTTGCGGCACACGAAAACGAGGCGTTTACAAAAGTTTAATTTTACTTACTTTTTGTGGACGATGTGGTTGGTAAAAAAAATATTCAAAAAACACCTTTTTTTTGGGTCTGTTTGATATTTAAATATGGCAATAAACCTAAAATCAGTTTAATTGTTATTATTGTGAATTTTAATTGTGTTTCTTGAAACTCCTTTAAATTAATTTGCACAAAGTTCTTCTATGTTTTTGGGAAATTAAACTTTTAATCAAATGAATTTGTGTGTCTGGTTATCTAGCTTCCCATTAGAAACTGCCCTACTGACTCTTATCCATTATATGTAGTTGGAATTTTCCAAGTAGACAAATTTCGTAGCAGCAGCTGTTGCCATTTGTGCTGCTTTTCACGTAAATTATAGCTAAAATTTAATTATACCATTGGCCGTTCTACTTTGCTTCGGGAAGAGGAGCTGAGAGTGGAGGGACCGACTAACATAGTTCCATGGCCAAAGGCAGCTGGAACAAGGAACAAGGATAACAACAAAAGTTGTGTGTCGAAAGTATGCTACTAAAACAATTAGCAAGTCTCGGAGCGGGGCTATAATTAAAACAACAATGGCTGGGGAGAGATGGGGGGAGACTTCCTTCTTATGGGGCTGCCTTTGATTGATGATGCAAAAGCAGCTAAGGCTAAAGTCGGCTCCTTGAAGTATGCAACACATAAGCCCGTTGCAAAGGCGTTGAAGTAACACACACACAAAGAGTCAGGGTTGTGGGGCAGGATGTGGGGGTGGTGCACTGCCTATGGGTCTTTGTTTTCTTTTTGACCCGCCGGCAACCACTACGACGGCAACAAACTATGCAGTGCCACAAGAAACAACAAAAGGAATCGGCGGGAAAAGTTTAGACAGCTAAGGGAACTTTTAATACTCTTGACTTGCTAAGAAAAATAAATAAATAAAAAATGGAAAACCTTAAAGATTATCAAATTTAATAAAAGAATTTATTAGGGATTACTAAGATTTAAGCAGAATTAAAAAAAATAAAAATACTCTCGAAAAGGACTCTTCTGATCCAATATGTGATCACTTGAACTTCTATATCTCCACTTCAGCTAGAGCTGCCCAAAAGCTAGCCAAGCAAATGTGTGTTATTATCCTTACACACACACACACACATTCACCCACTACCCCTCTTAACTCTTTGGCATCTCCTCCGTTTGGCTAAAAGGAAAAGAAAATGTTTAAGGAAATTGCAGCAAATATTTTGCTTGTTAAGTGAAACCCAGTTTGGCGAAACGTTTCCCCAGCAATTTCTTGAGGCATTTCGACAACGTCTTGGCTTGGTCCTTGTCCTGGTCCTGGTACTGGATTTTAGTTTCTTACTGCAGAGCTCACTCACGTCCTCGTGGCCCCCATCCCGGCACTATTTGATGCATTTTGCATAAGCGCTGGGCAAATGCCTTTGCTGCTTTTATGCAAATTTCTTGCATTTTCCATGTCGTTACATTCTTGGTCGTGTTTTAGTTTTGCCCATAAATGCATACATGCACGTCCGTGTGTTTGTGTTAGCCCTGTAATGTCTGCATGTGTGTGGGGATCTTTCGTTGGCATGCAATTAAAACTAAATTAGTAGGCCTCTGGGCCACATCTGCCCGGCAACAATCGGTGATGTTCGGGTCCTGTTTACTAATTGAATTATTCAGCTGCAAGTCGCCAAAGTTTCCACTTTTTCGTCGTTGTTGTTCGAGGCGGAGGATGGTTCTCAAACAAACTGGAAAATGAAGCGTAATCAAAACAATGCCCCGCCCACACTGCCCACAGCCTCACCGGATTCAAACCCTTTTTTTAGGTGTTGAACATCACCGCAGGGTCCAAACCGCACAAGCCAACTTTGGTCCTGTTTCAGGTCGTGGTCCTTGTGCCTGGTCAGCAAAGATATGCACAAACAGGAGCTGGAAAAAAAATTTGTGTCCATGGTTGAGCAACTTTCAGTTGTGAAAACGCCCTCTACACCCCCAAATCCTTTTTTTTTTGGTTTTTTGTTTGGTGCTTGGACAACCCCACATGCAACATTTAACCCTCGAATTGTGCTCGCAGGACGCATTGAATTTCTACACTTGCTCACGAATTGTTATCCCTTAACTGGGGATTTGTTGTGAAAATATTAAAAATTTATGAGGTCTAACCAAAATAGAGGATGAAGCTTAGGCAGTATCGGAATATAGTTGCTTTAATTTTGAAATTTAGTTTTGGAATGGTCGTTACATATTTTATCCTTAAACGAAATTTTTAAGTTTTTATTAAATAAGAGGTATTAAAGTCTCGATTCTCAAAAGCTTAATTTCTACCCTCATGTTGGTTTGTTATTTGTTTTCCTTTTTTTCCATGTTGCATGTTGATTTTTCGACTGCCATAACTCCGATTTCATTCCCTCCGTCCACTTTGATGTTTTATTTTCATTTTTCTTGTTGAAATAACATTGACATGCCGTCTTGCTGGTTGACCCCTGACCCCAGCCCCTGGCCCTTGCTCTGCACCCTGCCGCCCCCCAACTCCCGACACTTTCGCCACCCTCGAGGGTGGCAGGACATGCAACACGTCTGCCGCTCCACCTCCTTAACTATTTTCTCCGAACTCCGATCCGAAATTCGATTTCCAGCTTGCGACTGGGTTGCTGCAACGTCTGTCGATGTTGTTGTTATTGTTTTTCTGGCTGGATGACATGCAACTTTTGCCCCAAGCTGTTTGTTGCTGTCGTTGCTGTCGTGTTGCAAGCGACAACAACAAAGTCGAAGAGCAACAAATGTTGCCTCGACTGCCTTTTATTAAATAACGTTTCAATATTCCAACGTTTTCTGACATATCAATTTTCACGCGGTATGGCCAGCATAGATATAGAAAGGATTACACTGGAAAAAGTTAAGGGAAAGTGGGAATTAAAGATCAATAGATCTATAATAGTTTAGAATAGAAATAGAAAGAGTAAAGGTACGGTAAAGAATGTAATGTAAAAAGCTTTAAAATTCAGTAGAAGACCATAATTCATTGCCTAATTTTTTTTTAGTGCATTTGTATATTTATAGATTCCTGCTGCGATATGAATAAAGTTTTGAATCTTGTTCCGTTCGATTCTCCCCACTACTCTAGTTTGAAAGTGTGCGGATGACAGAAAATTGTTTAGATATGGCATGAAAATTGAAATTTATGTCCTTGCCATTGACAGATGGCTTGCAGCTAACATTGGAGTCGGTCTGCGGTTAGCAAATAAAGATTGTACGATATGGCAACTGCTCCAGCAAGTGTTCCTCGATGGGGTGTTGAGCTGTGAACACAACTTGCCGGCCCGAAATGGATTTTCGGCTGTTTGTATGTGGGTGGCAGCAGGAATAGGAACAGGAAGCCAGCTCAGATCGATTTGAACAATTGAGATTGGTAAATGGCGTGGCAATACCATTCCATTTGTAGATTAACCGAGATTCAGCCACCCGGAAAGGATAACAATTGAAAGGCGAAATGCACTAATATAACTAGAATCTTAAGTTCTCCAAGCTTAAGTTTTCATTTAAAATGGCAAGTCCTGAGCAGAGAATCTGAAACAAAGGACTATGCTAATCCCTGGCTCATCAAAACCATCGCGGCAGCCCTTTTCTACCTTTGCTGCAACCCAGTTAATTTTCCAACGTTGCATTATGCTAAACAAAACAAAAAAGGGCTAAATTATACAGGGAAAAAAACTACTTAGCAGCTAAGCTGCCTGGCTGCGCTGTCCTTTGCCGCATATGCAAATCTAAACAAATTAATTCCAAGCTGAATCCTTTGAGGACTCAGCCTCCCGCCCACCTCCACGGCTGCAGTTGCAACTGCAACTTCATTTGCAACGTCAACGGCAATGCGCATTAACATTGTTTTCGTTTGCAAACGAGCGTTTCTCGTTTTGCTCCATTTCTCCCCCTCGTTTTTTTGTATTTAAATTTTTTCGTTTCTTTTCGTTCATTTCAACAAACCGCTGACGATGATGATGTCGACTGACGCAGCGGAAAACTGAGAACGGAAGGACCCCGCAGTACAGCCCCACTTGCCACCCCCCCTACATTTTTGTATTTCACATTTCTTTCAACAGTGTCTCCCAAACCTTTTCTCTTCGGCAGGTTCGCATCCGCCGCGAATAGTGGAGCATCCCATAGATACGACGGTGCCGCGCCACGAGCCAGCCACGCTTAATTGCAAAGCTGAGGGCAGTCCCACGCCCACCATCCAGTGGTACAAGGATGGGGTCCCCCTGAAGATCCTGCCGGGCTCGCATCGCATAACCCTGCCAGCTGGCGGATTGTTTTTCCTCAAGGTAAGCGGTGGGGAATTGAAAAATTGGAAATTGAAAAGTTTCAGCAACCGGCTGCAGGTGTATTATATTTTCCATAAATTATAGATACATATATTGATAAGGTCCTTAAAGTTACTTAGTTTATAAAAGTTGTATAAACGGTTAATTATAGTTCTAAGAAATACTTTAAATATTAAATTTTATAACAAAATACCATCTCTTCTAGAACCCAACAATAAATCCTTTCCTAGCCGAATGTCCTGCGGTGTTTTACATTATTTTCCCGCCCGGCTGGCGTTTTCTTTAACAGTTTCTCTTCTTCTTTTATTATTTGCATGCATAATTATTATTTCTGCTCCATGCTTCCATTCATAATGGAGGAGATAGCGACCGGAAGGATGTTAAAACTGAGAGAGAGTAAGAGAAGACCGTGAAGTTGGGGCTTAAAAAAATATTCATTTTGCCAGGCCATCTGTTGAGTGATGAACAAACTAATTGCTTTTATTTTTAACTCTCGTCCGCCCACTTCCCGCTACGCCCATTTGGCCTTTATGTCTCTGTTCGTATCATTCGAGAGTAAAAAATATTTTTGCAGCAAAAATGCGCGGGGGGATGTCGGTGGGGCAACAACTTCATTAACGCAAGGTAAACAAACATTAAACGGGTGGTGGGGCAGGGAGAAATGGAGAGCGAGAGAAAGTAAGCGACGGAGAGAGAAGCGGAAACGTAAAGAAAAAACGACAGTCTGACAGACAAATAAAGACGTAACGGAAGTTGGCAGAGGCGGATCTGGCAAAAGTCAGCTGCAGTCTGATGAGCTTTGATAAGGCGAGACAGAGATAGTAGAACACTCAGAAAAATGGGGAGTATTTTAAGAAAAAATAAACAATAATTATTTATTATGAATACTAATTCCTTCTTAAATTTATTTAACCACCCACATTCAAATTTTAGTTTTATGTTAGCTAAACATCCTTAATTTTTCCAACAGTGTATCCAAGTATGAGTGACTGCTATGAGTGACTCCCTCGACCGTCATGGACTCTCTGCTGAGCCCCGCAAAAGCACTCAGCAAATTTACGACGCAAAAAGCCAACGGGAGCCGCGTTGATTATGCTGATGATGCAGTTGAAATCGCAGTCTCAATTGCGGAGAGCTGGTGGAAAATGCGGAAGGACCCTGGGCGCCAAATGCGAGGATGGGGGGCACTCTGAGCTTGCCACTTTTCACACTCGATCTGCTGGCATGCCTTGTGTTTGGTGTCTGCGCTTATGCATTTGTATTTGCACATTTGCCGCATGCCACTGTATTTGTTTATCACTTAAGTGCAAAAAGGGATTTCAGCATTCTGCTCAGCAGCTGCCTCGGGCATTTTCAGACTTTAGCTTCCGCCGCCTGTCTGGCGAAATGTTGCCATCCCATCTATTTTTTTTGTTGCGCCCTCTAACGACTTTTAAATGAATTAATTCCACGGCTCCCTAGACTCCACATCCTGGCTCCTTTGGCTTGGCTCCATGGCATTTGATGGAATTAGTGGTGAAAAGAAACTGCAAGAAGGATTTTTGTTTTATGTGCTTTTTTCTGGAAAGTATTTTAGAGAAATAGTTAAGCTTTTGCTGGGTAATCATATTAAAGTTCAGGACCTACTTCCGTTTTAACATCTCTCTTTAGTCGTGTGTTTAATATTCAACTCCCGTTGTGAGGTCCCTGACCTATCTTGTATTTTTTATTATTTACCCTCTGTATGTACAACTCTCCAAAAATGCTCCTCCAACTCAAACACAAATATATTTCACATCATTTCATTGCTCCCCAGAGGCATAATTTAAATTCTAATTCCGGCCGCTTTCCCACTCCGCCACCAAGGACAATTCATCTTACTTATAAGTGCCAGACCACTTCGAAGGCAACTTCAACCAGACATTATTACTACACCAACGAGTCCTGCCAAAAAGGCGGTGTCCCTAAAAGTATGCAACACTATCAAACGCTGCTTCCCAGCAGAGAGAGCAGTGGGGGGAGATGAAAACAAAATCCCTCTTTAAGAAAGTTTTCCTTTTTTTTTTGGGGAACTTTAAGTGCTGAAGGGCGTAGAGAGGAGAAAAATGTACAAGCGAATAGGGAATATGCAATAAAATACAAAAGCATGTACAATGTGTACATGTATATAGAAAGGACGAGTGTGTAGGAGTTTTGGGCCAGAAAAAAATGGACGAAAAAAGGAGCGCCAAGCTGGGAACGTAGTGAAAAGTGACACGGAGGAGCGAGCGATGGGAAGACAGACAATAATTTACGTAACTGCACGACAGGACGATTCGGGGATGGGGAGGGGCGGGCTGAAAGCTGAAAGAAATGAAGCCAAGGCAGACACACTTACACACACGTCTGCGGGGAATGTCTGCGTGTGCGTCTAAGTGTGGTTGTAGTCGTGAGCAGCACTTTGGCTCGCCTGCCACCCATCATGTGGCGGGAAAGTCCTTAAAGCCGGCGTTGAACTCTTGATAAACGCACTTTTTTCCGAGTCACGAAGTGGAAGGATTCCACCTACATGGATGTGATCTACTTTTGGGGGAAAGATGAATTGAAGAGAAAGTGTGATAAACGTATACTTTTTCCATAATAAAGTAACTAATTTCTACAAATATTATCCTAAAGATTTTTTAAATCTAAAATATTACTTTAAGTTTCTCATCTCCAACGGCAATCAACAGCATCCTTTTTCATGTCCTTGACTAAAGCCCAACTCTATATTTGCCATGTCTGACTCTCAAGTGTTTGCTCGCAATGCTTTTTCCCCTATTTCCGAGTTGGTTACCCCCTTGAATGCCCCAACGTTTATTTAAATGTCTGCCACATTTGGCAATAGTTGCTTCCCCAGGATCGTTTATCCTGCGGCAGCGGTAACTTTAAGAAGGCAATCAACCGGGGGTGGCTAAATAAATCAAAGCGTGATTCTGGGCCCGGGCTGGATGCATTTTCGAGGTGCTACCCGGGAGCGTCTTAATTAAAAAGCAGTCGAGGCTCAAAAGTTAATGCCGATTTCCCCCCTCAGCTTCCGCGTCGAGGGGAAAATAACTTTGTGCACTGCCCTGTACAATGAGCACATTTTAATGAGTTTACAAACGCTCGACACATTCGCGGCTCCATAAAAAATCGTTCTCTCTATATATGCATGCATAAATAAATAAATACAGGGACTTAAGCCTTGTTGAGTGGATGCTCGCAGTGGAGTGGAGTGAGTGGCGGGCCAACGGGGCGTATGAGTTATGTTTTTATGAACGAGGCGACGATTTTCGCGTCAAGTTATTTTTTTCCGCCAGCTTCCTCGGGGCGGTTTATTAACTTGGAGGTATGAGTGAGGCATGCTTTTGAGCCGCGTTTAATGAATGGGCGGAAGGAAGCCGAGGGGCGGGGCAAGCAGGGCTTAAGAAATCCCCCAGGATGATTGAATTAGTTAAGGGAGAGGAGCAGCGAAGTTAAAATATGAGGAAGGAAAGAGGATTTTTAATGAGGAGATTAACAAAAAAAAGAAGGGAGTGTTTCTTATTAAAAGGAATAAACAGAGATTTATTTTTTTTGTTTTGCGAGAGGCAAAGTAAAGTAATTAATTTTATGTTTTTATTGCAGGAATTATAAGTTTTTGAGTTACATTTGGGAAATATTCATTTCTTGAGCTCGACTCCTGCGAGCTTCCACGGCTAATAGTTTGAATTCTAAAGTTATAATCAAAAAGTCCTTTAAAGCCTGTTGCTCTGCCACCTGTAGTAGAAAGTAAAAGTGTTCGAACCAAAACTCCCTCCAAAGCCCATAGCCCATTTTGTAGATTTTCCTAATTCCATTTCGTTTCAAACTCGTTTTCAGGCTCAATTAAAACCATTTACACGTCACATTCTGCACAAGCTTTAAAATTTAAACCAAATTATAAAACACTCAAGAGTGTGGGATGGCAAAGTGACAAGCTATCTCCCTCTGGCACACGCACCAGACAATTACAAAATGTTACAACATGAAAACGGGAATGGCTCCCAAATGAAATGTTTGAAAATTTATGGGTATTTTAAATTAAAACGGAAGCGTGTTTTCAGCGCGCTCCTCCAGCAGACTCGCACACACCCGCAAATCCACCAGCAGTGGCAGTCACACAGATACAGCCAATATATTTTATAGCTTCCCCCCTTGTTGCCGGCAGAAAAGTCTCCGCTCCCCCCACTCTCAGAAAAGATTCCCCACCATAAAGTTGCACGTAGCACACGGCAAATATTTTTCCCCTGCTGCCTCGGCTTGGCTCCTTTTTTTTTATTTTTTGCTGCTACTACTGCTCTTTGGTGTCAAATCAGTTCCAATGTTTGCACGCACAACAACAACAACAAAAGTAACAAAAACAGTGGCTGCTATAATAACAACAATAAATATAAGGCAACAACAAATCCGCTGAGCGCAACCAATTCGCTGCGAATCGCCCGGCTCAAGTCATTAAAGATATAAATAAATTTATGTGACTTTTGGCCATGTTTTTCTTCTTCGCCTGGCTTCTGCTCGTTTTTATCCCAAGCCAGCCATGTCAGACATTGTGCAAAATCTAAATTAAATTTGCAGCAACAGGGGTTGTATATAGAAGAGTTATTTTTATCTTTTAAATTTCCAAATTTGAACAAAGTACGGATTAATTTTATTATCCCATAGAAGTGAACTCACTTCTTTAAATTTTTCTGAAAATCTGGCAAAGGAAAAGTGCTTCTATAAAAGAAGCCTTAGCTACTATCTCTCCTGTAATTCATTTTAATTTTTAATAGCAATCCGCCCTGTGCCTAGCTAATAAGCTTAGGTCAGGATTACCTTTTCCGGGCCAACGTGGCGTATGCGTAATATTCTGCTCAACAGTTGATGACTTTGCAAAATGGGTCAGTGGTTGGATTGAGTTTATTAAAGGAGTCTAGCTAACTTTTCAAAGTTATCTGAGCAGATTAAACGAAAAGTTGGAATGAAAAACTTTAATCGGACTTTTATTTATTTTTTTAAAATATATATATACATATATACAACTATATATGTATATGTATATACAGTTTTAAAAAATATTTTGTCTCAGGACTGTGATGCAGAATGGTGGCGAATCGATACAGAAATCGTTTAAGATACTCCGCTTGAGAATTGGATGAGAATCGGGGAAGATATAGGCATCACAGTGGGCCATTTAGGGGAAAACCCCATTTCTAAGGGATCCCATCACGAAAAATGGACAAAAAATCTAAGAAATATTTTGTCTCAGGATTTTGATGCAGAATTGTGGCGAATAGATCCAGAAATCGTTTAAGGTACTCTGCTTGCCGTTTTAAAAGCGAAAACAAATATAGTTTCCATCGTTTGAGGGCAAGATTAAAGGCTGCGATTTTCTGTAATTAGGAAAGGTTGAAAATACGAATTCTTGAAGATTTAGATTGCATAGTTAATAAAAATGTTGAATATTCTAGAATCTTTAATGAACTTTCCCGCATTTATGCCTCACATCGCGTATTACTATTACTTTGTGCCACGTAATCTTCCTGCCTTTGAGCTGTAATTTCTGCTTTTCTTGGCAGGATCTTGGATGTTGTGAGCTGTTGTCTCGCCTTTCCCTAGTAACCCGCACATATGAAGTACGACCATCGAGAGGCCCGAGGCGCTTCAACTTATTTGTTTTATAAAGCGCACCCGCGGCCCAAACACACATGTGTATATTCAGCTGAGGACGGAAGATTAAATGAAAGAATAATACAGATGAAGAACCCTTTTGTCATCTTCACTTAGCGCAACACTTAATTTCACTTGGATGAGGCTCAGCGCAGAGCAGAAGTTGTGTAAATTGTGCGAACTTTGTTGCTGGCTGCTACTGTTGGCAGTCTTCTCTTTCATTTTCTCCTGCTGCAAGGACCAGATAAATATGGCAGAGCTACACACACACAAACACACTTAGTTTGACATTTAATTTTAAGCGCATGTTGGGGAATTCTTTTGTGTTCCGAAAAACAAATAAACAAACAGTGTAGACAACAAACACAAAAGGGGAAGGGCCCCTCGCAAAAAGCGAACTCCAAGGAGCAAAAGGGATGCCAGGACATGTATGTAGTAACTATAAAGTTGCTCCAGAGACATTTTATGATTTGAGCACTTGAAGGCAGCAGACGCGCAACAGACAACAGATTGCTGACTGTTTTATGGCCAGAAAAAGCCAAAAGTGGGAGGTCCTTGAAGGAGAAGCAACATTCGAGGCAGCAAATCAACGTCTTAGAAAGCTTCCATCTGGATGTAGTTTTGAGTTCTTTTTTCAGTTCCATTTGTGAAATTACAAATAAGAGAGCATCCTTTAGGAATATTTCAAAACGAATTTAGACTACACTTAAAGATTAATTTATAATACACGTATAAATTAGTGCAACAATATGTATAAAATATTTAATCACTTTTAAGCTCTATTTTTAATTAAGTGTATCTAAGCATAAGTATACTCCTTCCAACCTGCTCATTTAAATTAAAATTACTCGCATTTGGCCCTTGACTCCAACTCATTTGTCAGACCCCATTACTGCCTTTTAGCCATCTTGTCCTGGCAGCTCAAAACTCATTCTTATGCCACCATATTTTTTTTGCAGGTTGTCAATTCACGTCGCGAAACAGATGCCGGCGTCTATTGGTGTGAGGCCAAGAACGAACTGGGCGTGGCAAGGAGTCGGAATGCCACGCTGCAAGTAGCGGGTAAGTCAGCTTAAATCCCCAGTACCCACTAACCCAAATACACAAAGAAAAACATGGACATTCTTTTTCAAATAATAACCCTTATTAGAAAGGACATTTTTGGGATTTATCCATTAACAGATTTCTCTGAAAGTCTAAAATCCTCTACATTTTTATAAAATCCACAATATAGCTTACATTTTTCATATCATATTTTTCAAGTGTGTCCTCTCCATCCTTGAAATGTGTAGTGTGCGTTTTTAATATTCTAAATTGATGTTGATTTTTGCTGCTGTTCATGTTGTTGTGTTTGCTGTTGTTGTCAGGGGGTGGTTGGGGGAAAGGGGTCTTACCAGCCTTGCCCTTTTTGCCAACCAGCAGCTGAAGCCGCCCAGCACCCGCCCACTTAACTAACTAGCTGTGGAGCTGCTGCGTTTACAAGTTTTACGCTCGAACGCACCCACTTGTCTTGTCAGAGGACTCGTGCCCTCTCCCTCTCCCCATTCTATAGCCATCTCTCTTGCTCTCTGCACGCTCTATTGCCGCCTCCATTAACCCGTTTTCGTGTCAGTTTCCCCAATTTTTTTGGGAATTTTTTTTTGGTTTTTGAAGCCAAAAAGGCTTACTCGGATGGCCTTAGCCATTTTTTTCCCTCAAGAGTGAGGATGGGTCGTATTTTTGTGGATGTGTGGGATTTATTGGGGCATATGGCCGAAATAAAAAATTGTTAGTTAGGATAGGTCTGGCCAGAATTTTGATGGGCTGTGTCAGAGGAAAATATTTTGGCAATTAAGGTCTCTACTTCAGGAATGGATTTTGAAATAAAATAATCCCAACAATGACAGAATTATTATATTTTTTAGCCTCTTCTATTTCAAAGGGATATAGGGATCAGGAAGCAGGAAGCACATATAGGGATCAGGAAGCAGGATACCTTGAAGCTCTCTCCCACCAAAGTGTTCTCCGCTCCTGTCGATGGAGACCGCCACTTTGTCTTTTGTTGGCTAATATTTCTTTTATTTGCCGCTGCCTTTTCATTCCTGTCTGTCTGTCTGTTGGTCTGTTTGTCCTCCCGGCTGTCATGTCCTGGATCTCCTCCCACATGAAAATCGATATTGCTCCGTGGAGTTTATTTTGCCTTCATGTTAGGATTGTATTTGGTCTCCCGCCCGGCTCCTTTTCGAGTCTTGTTTAGCCAGAGACCGAGTGGGGCTTGCTTTTTGCGGTATATCCTTGGGGAATATTTTTCAATATTTGCATGTAAATCACGAAAAGCACGTCAAATTTGTTTGCTTGGTTAAAACGTCGTTATTGCGGCTTGCGGTGGATACAAAAAAAGCAAGTGTACAGGGAACTTGGCGAAGGCAAAAGGCGTTCACATTGATTGGGTTAGGCAATAAAAGAGCGAACAGCAAACGGCAGAAGCCATCAGGCAGCAGGCTGAAGGAACAGGACCTTTGCTCGTAGGCGGGCTCACTTGTTCACGTGCTTTTTATTCCTTTTTTTTTGAGGTTTTATTGGGGGTTTGTCAATAGTAAACATAAGTTGCACATTGTGTGTGTATAAGTATATATATTTTATGTTGTCAGCGCAATTTCGCTTTGAGCGCTGTCAACGCACACGCAGACTTCTGACCCTACATTAAAGGACTCCCTCGCAGTATAATGGGAGGAACGGTGAGGGCCATATGCAGAGTAGGCGTTGAAAAATTGTGGGGAATTATCTTCAACGTTTTAGCAGCCATATATATAATTTTCTGGAAGCTTTTCTTGCTCAGATTATTGTTATTAGGGTTTCGCAGAGCCTTGCAAAAAGGTTGCACCTAGTATCCCTTTAAGGTGAACCTTTCTCCCCTTATCGCTCCTTAAATTATCCAATTAATTGTAATCATCGCATAACTTTCTCTTAGTGCCTGGCAATTATCCCAGAACAGTTTGTTCATTAGCTTTAATTGATCACGTCGCCGACTTGAAGTAGTTGGCGTATCCGGCATCCTCCTATCATAAATCTCACACATAATACCAGCCGTGATAAATATAGATAAACGGTCATTTATTAACTCATTATCGGGAGCTGTCCGAATCGGTTCGCCTGAGAGCGTTTTGCACCTTTTCCTGGGTGGCTATATACATACATATATATTTTTTTTGCTCGTCGAGTCCGTGTCCGTGACCGCACAGGAGTACCGGCAAGGACGACGCCGAGGCCTACACAACTTTTCGCCCAATGGCACTGAACCTGACACTGATTATGACTTTGATTAATTTATTGATGGTTGGCGTGTTTCCTGCTGTGTGTGTTTTTCGGATCGGGACTTCCAGCTCGGCCCGGACTTCTATTAAAAGTTTGGCCCCGACTTTAATGGCGTCGTTTGGGAGGGTTCTTTGGGCTCTCCGTGAGTTCTTTGATTCATGCTGATTTATTACGCTTCAACTTTAAATTTAATAAAAGTCATGGTTTCAGCACATTTTTGCATAACCACTAAGGCAAAAACTAAGCCAGAGCAAAAAGAAATCTCGACCGACAACAAAAAACACCCTAAAATGTAAAAGAATTCGCTTATTCACTTTGTAGATTAAAAAAAAAAAGAAAATGCTGCGAAATAAAGGAAAAGCGAAATTTAATTTACGTAAAAGCTGCTTTCGCTATGGATTTATACGATGAATATCCATGCATATATATGTACTATATATACTATATTTTTTCGCTGCACAAAAGGTTGCTTTTGAGGCCAAAGGAACAGAGTCGGAAAAAGCAGAGAATTTACTTGGCTACGCTTTTCAAGTGCTTGAAAGTTGCTTGATTTATTACACTGAAGTTGAGCTGCCTGCCCTCTACCACCACCACCACCACTACCTTTAGCCGAAAAAAAGTGAATGGAAAAGAAAACTTCTTTCTGTGATATGCACACAGGACAAATAGAGCTCTGAGGTGTGTGCAAATTACGGCATTCCCCTCTGACCACACATTTACAAAGGACGATAAAAGGAGGAGCCGGCTGAATTACTGCTCTCCGCCCTAGTCGCTCCAAATCTGCGAATGCTAAAGCAAAATGTTGATAATACTCTGATTTACTATGCCAAAGGACTCTCCGTTTCAGGAATAAATGCACTCAGCCGGATTGTGACAGTAGAATGGCTGAAAGTAATGATAGAAGAGTAAAATGGCTCAAAGAAGAATCGGGAGTTCTTTAGAAAGATTGTACTACAATAGTTTAAATATCCATAACATTAATCTGCAATCACAACTTTGTTTGAATTTAAAAATACATAGCTCATGTTTATTTTATAAACCATTAATTAAAGAGTAAAAAATCTCCTATTATTCTTATATTTTTTTTAGTAAAAAATATCATTTATTCATGCAATGCTAATGCAAACATTTGTGTAATGACATGGATAGCTGCTGTCATTTATTTTTCCGCTTCATCAGAGTTTGAATGGTGTCGCTCCTGATGGCATTTATCAAATTAATATACTCACTTACTTTTTGTCCCTACAATCAATAACAAATGGAATTAAATTAGCTTAAAAGCTGCGTAGAAAATGGTGTCTCCTCTGGAATTTTTTACAAATTAGAAGGCCATCTTTCTTGGGAGCAGCCCCCTACTTTTCCCCCGTATAAAAATCACATTTATGCCATTTACCAACAATTTATCTTTGCTGTCAGGCCGCAAATACGCGCTCATACCCACAGCAGAGAAAGTGGCAAGAGAAAGCCGCAGGATAGGGAGTAGCTAGCAGGACGAGGGACATGGGACTAGGGGGACAAGGACACCGACACCGACACCGACGTGGGGCATTTATCATGCAAAAACCCCCAGATAATTTATAACCACCAACAAATGGACAGGGGCCAAGCCGCACACTCCAGCACACACACACACACTCTTCGTAATAATCATTTGCTCATCTTTCTTTCACTCATGCCACATGCCTTTTCACCCATGTCCTTGCCACCATTTCAGTGCTCCGTGATGAGTTCCGCCTGGAGCCGCAGAACACACGGATCGCCCAGGGCGATACCGCCCTGCTGGAGTGCGCCCCGCCCCGGGGCATTCCCGAGCCGACGGTCACCTGGAAGAAGGGCGGCCAGAAATTGGATTTGGAGGGCTCGAAGCGTATACGCATCGTTGACGGCGGCAATTTGGCCATCCAGGATGCCCGACAGACTGACGAGGGTCAATACCAGTGCATAGCCAAGAATCCTGTCGGAGTGCGCGAGTCCTCGCTGGCCACGCTCAAAGTGCACGGTGAGTCCTTAACCCTTTTCAGCCAGGGTGGCATAAAAGGTACAACAAGATGAAGGGTTTTATTTTAAATTTATTTTATTTAATTTTTTTCGAAAACTCCAAGTTTTTGGAATGAAATGGAACTTGCCATTAATTTGAAACAGCAGTTGGTATATTTTTATTTCAAAGCTGTGAATATTTTCTAGGGTTAAAGGTTAGAAATAGGGACGCCACCCAAACCAAGCACCTCCAATCAATGTGTCATGTCCAATTTGCTGGAATTTGACTTGGGTTGGGCTTTGGTTTGCGGGACGGTTATTGGTTTGGGTTTGGGTTGGCGTTGGAGTTGGGGCTTTTGATTAAATTTCCGCTTATCATTGCCATGTTTGCGTATGTCCATTGCAGTCAAGCCGTACATCATCCGAGGACCACACGATCAAACGGTATTGGAGGGAGCGTCGGTGACCTTTCCCTGCCGGGTGGGCGGCGACCCCATGCCCGATGTTCTCTGGCTGAGGACCGCCTCTGGCGGCAATATGCCATTGGGTGAGTCGAAAGGAAAGGCAATTAATATGAATATCCCTTAAAGACATATTTTCATATATCCCAGATCGCGTTAGTGTTTTGGAGGATCGAAGTCTGAGACTGGAGCGAGTAACCATCGCCGATGAGGGCGAATATAGTTGCGAGGCTGATAATGTTGTGGGAGCCATCACCGCCATGGGAACCCTCACGGTTTATGGTAAGTTATAACTACTAGTTTCCTTGAATTCTGTTTTAGATAACCGCTAGTCGAGCACTGTTAGCTAATTAGTCTACCCATGCTCCTCCTACTCCCCGCACTGACACTATAGCCCCCCCGAAATTCATCCAACGTCCTGCGAGCAAGTCCGTGGAGCTCGGCGCCGATACCTCGTTCGAGTGCCGTGCCACTGGAAACCCAAAGCCGACCATCTTCTGGACCATCAAGAACAATAGTACGTTGATCTTTCCCGGGGCCCCACCGCTGGATCGGTTTCATAGTCTGAACACCGAAGAAGGTCACTCCATCCTGACCCTGACTCGCTTCCAAAGAACGGACAAGGATCTGGTAATTTTGTGCAATGCCATGAACGAGGTGGCTAGCATAACGTCCCGGGTACAGTTGAGTCTGGACTCCCAGGAGGATCGCCCCCCACCCATCATTATAGCTGGGCCCGTGAATCAAACCTTGCCCATCAAGTCCTTGGCCACGTTGCAGTGCAAGGCCATAGGCCTGCCGAATCCTACCATATCCTGGTATAGGGATGGAATACCCGTGCAGCCCAGTTCGAAGTTGAACATCACTACGGCCGGGGATCTGATAATATCGGACCTCGATCGGCAGCAGGATCAGGGGCTGTACACTTGTGTGGCCAGCTCGAGGGCCGGAAAGTCCACTTGGAGTGGCTTCCTCCGGATCGAGCTGCCCACCAATCCGAACATTAAGTTCTACAGAGCCCCGGAGCAGAGCAAGTGCCCCACGGCCCCCGGGCAGCCCAAGGTTCTGAACGCCACCACCTCGGCCCTGACCATTGTCTGGCCGACGAGTGATAAGGCAGGAGCATCGTCCTTCCTCGGATATAGTGTGGAAATGTACTGTACGAACCAAAGTAAGACCTGGATACCGATTGCCTCCCGGCTAAGTGAGCCCATCTTCACGGTGGAGAGTCTGACCCAGGGAGCGGCCTACATGTTCATAGTCCGGGCGGAGAACTCCCTTGGCTTCTCGCCACCCTCTCCCATTTCGGAGCCCATAACTGCCGGAAAACTGGTTGGGGTCCGAGACGGCAGCGATAACTCTGGTACCTCGCAGCTGCTTCTGAGCGACGTGGAAACCCTGCTGCAGGCCAACGACATTGTGGAAATCTTGGAAGCCAACGCCAGTGACTCCACCACCGTGCGGCTCTCCTGGGACATCGACAGTGGCCAATATATCGAGGGCTTCTACCTATACGCCCGGGAACTACACTCCAGCGAGTACAAGATGCTCACACTGCTCAACAAGGGCCAGGGACTCAGTTCCTGTACTGTTCCCGGTTTGGCAAAAGCCTCCACCTACGAGTTTTTTCTTGTGCCATTTTACAAGAGCATCGTAGGAAAGCCCTCCAACTCCCGACGTGTCCGCACCCTGGAAGACGGTAAGGTTTATTTTGTAGTTACTTTGCTAAGCCACTTCTTTGGGTTTTTCTTATTTGGGTTCTGGCCACTAATTGCGATTCATTGTTCTCCATTTTCGTTAACAGTCCCCGAGGCGCCACCTTATGGCATGGAGGCCATTCAATTCAATCGCACCTCAGTGTTTCTGAAGTGGCTGCCACCGCAACCGAATCGGACACGCAATGGTAAGTAAGAATTTTTTGTTGGCCAAGCTTAAGGTTATTAATGGTACGATTATGGCGAAAACATATTTAGAGTCATTAGCCTTGAGGATAAATATTTTGTTTCAAAATCCCTTTCCTAAACCTTTTATTTCAAAAACGATTACCTAAGCCTCTGAGAACATAGTGCTAAAAATCGCTAGACTGAATCGTCCTGCAGGACCCACTGATTTATCGCACTCACCACCTCGAACAATTCGATTGTAAAAATACCGCCAGTAAACCAACTCGATGCGGATGAATTCTCTCCTTCTTTGTTTACATTTAATTTCATTTGCGTGTGTCTCCGACTCTGACTCCATTCTTCCAACCCTCCATTGAACAGGAATCCTCACCAGCTACAATGTGGTCGTCAAAGGCCTGGACGTGCACAATACGACGCGGATATTCAAAAATATGACCATAGATGCGGCCACCCCCACACTGCTCCTGGCGAATCTCACCACGGGAGTTACCTACTACATTGCCGTGGCGGCGGCCACCCGGGTGGGAGTCGGACCCTTCAGCAAGCCCGCCGTTCTTCGCATCGATGCACGCACCCAGTCCCTGGACACGGGCTATACTAGGTGAGTTGAAAGCACTGAAAGAAAATGGTAGATATTTGAGCTTTTAACCTTTTATTTGGAGGGATATCTTGAAAACGCTGTCGAATATTTAAATATATAATTTTTTTGAGTGCATTTCCCTTTTGTGTTAGTGGGCGGAGCTGGGGCATTGTGATGCTGCTCATTTGACTGCCAAGTGTCGCAGCGAGGTCCACATCAATCCATTAACGGCCAACGACAATGGCCAACGACTTTTGCGACCAACGACCATTAAACTAAGCCTCTGCCCGGGCACGTACACAATGCTCCAGCGCCAGCTCCAGTCTCCATCCTCCATCCTCCCGATAGCCGTTCTCCATTCCGGGCTCTTTATTGTGTTGTCTATTGCAGATATCCCATCAGTCGTGATATTGCCGATGACTTTTTAACACAGACCTGGTTTATCGTCCTGCTGGGCTCCATCATTGCCATAATTGTGTTTCTATTGGGCGCATTGGTTCTATTCAAGCGCTATCAATTTATCAAGCAGACTTCGCTGGGCAGTTTACATGGTGAGTGAACTTTAATTTAAATTTATACTTATTTGCCTTTTTTCTTGTTTTTGTGGTGGGAGGGTAGTCTGGTAATTGCTTGTTCTTTTTGTGTGGGGATTTATGGGTGCATTGAGGTTTAATTTGGTCGAAAATGGGGGATATTCTTTAAATTTTGAATAACTTGTTAAAGAGACTATAGATAATACTTCCCCCTCTCAGCTACTACATCAAGAATTATTTTCCCCCTACTTTGATAGGACAATCTTCATTCCGGTCCGGGACATGCAAGCATTTTGCTTCAGCTCCTCGAGCACCATGAGCTCCTCCTCTGCGTAATCTATGATTTATGACTTGAGCATTTATGGTCGGTCTCAATTAGGTTGCCATTTTGTAAGCCACAATAACTGCAGCCATCAGGACACGCACTCATAACATTGTAAAGACTGAAGGAACCCGAAACCGAGGGTAATAATCTTTGGCAGTAAGCCACAGCGCCAAGGTTAAACCGACTATAAAAAGATAAACAAGTCACGATAACTAGAGCACCAGTCGGGGGCCCGAAAACTTGGGGGAAATGGGAACTTTGTAACGAAGAGCATAAAAACGACAAATGCTCACGTGAAAATCACATCAATTGTCTGACTGGGAGTACTCTAAATAAAGAAATAAAATACTAGAGGGGTCAAAAGGTATCCTGTATTTGGTATTCGGTTCTTCAATTTGTACGAATTTGGTGGATTTCTGATCACCTCTTCAACGTAAACCTGGTTAAACAGTCCATTTAGTGGAAATACCCAGGCCGTCTAACAACTCTAGGGCATTTACAATCTCGTTGGAAAAGGGCGGGAAAAAGCTTTTGCCAATTGAATATAAAAAGTAATTTCCGTCTTTTATTATTTGCACGTTACCCTCCGAATGGTATGGTCTGGTCTACAGGTCTGGTTTTAGTTTTAACGAGCCGTAATCATAGCCAGCCCAGCACCGACCCAGCACCACAGCCATTTCGATATATTCAGTCTGGTATAAGGTATATAACACATATTTTTTTTATTTCAGGCAATCACGCAATCGGAACCGTGCGAAAGTTTCCAACATTGCCGCTAAATGGAGGCGGAGCTGTCGGTGCCGTTGGCTCAAATTCGACAGCCGCAACTGGCCCCAACGGCCTCTGGATCGATCCCACCGGTGGCGTTTGGCGACAGGGCGACCGGGGCACTAACGGTGGCAGTGGAGGCGGCACATGTTCGACAAAGGAGCAACTTCCGGGATACGCACAGGCCACCGCCCAGCAGGGACAGCACCCGCCCACCCTGCTTCCCGATTACGAGAGGTAAGCTGTGCCTTTGGTTTGTTTATCTGCTCGGGAAGTTGCCTTAATATCCTGTCTACGCTTCGCTGACTGTTTAATTACAATAAAAATTGGCAACCAGAAGGCTTAAATTGGTCAAAAGCCAGGGGGGATGGGGATAGTGGGCCATGGAGGGGGTTGGTAATGGGGCTTCCTTGCCACGAGAAACAGATCCGTGGCACTATTTACGAGCCGGCTCGTAAAATATATTTTGTGGAGCTGCAACCGCTGCCTCCATAAAAATTCCACCCCCGGACAGGAGCACCCTCTTCTGTAAGTCATCCGCCCATCCCCCAGCGCCCCCGCAACAACAACAACCGCCATTAAATTGTTACACTTGAACGGGTTTTACTTTGGGCCATGGTAACTTACCGCCGGCTGGAACTGTTTACGTTATTTGGGGGGCGGTCGATGTTACTGGGCGTGGCGGCCAGAGGGGGGCTGCACTCTTTTACATGCAGCGGTAACGTTATTTAATTTCCATATACGCATTTCACTCCAATTTCCCGGGGCTGTGTTATCCGGAATTTACTTTGTTGCGTTGCTGTTCTTTGGGTTTGTGGGTTTCTCTTAAAGAGACTCAAGAGTTTTCATTTCTGGGGGATTAAGTTTAAAACCATAAATCATAAAAAAGAATATTCAACTTAAAAGATCTTATTTACTTAACAAATTCTAACATGGCCCTGGAATATTGTTGACATGCTCGGCTTTGAAGTGGCTTAAATTGTCAGTGAATTCTCGGAAACTTTTCAATCCCGATTGTGACTTTCAGCAGAAAGAAAAAGAAATCTTCCTCGGCTTGACAAACGATTTCTGAAAATTTTAACAAAGTTTCCTGAAACTTTAAAATGTTTTCCATTAATCGCCTTAATTCCATTGGGCCTAATCCCAGTTCCATGTTGGAGCCAAACTGGCCACTTCTCCCTCGCTTTCTTTATTATTTTCCTTATACTTTCTACTTGGAAATTTGCTAAAAAAACATTCCTTTTGTTTTTTTTTTGGTCCTTTCTTGCCTTAAAGCTTAATGTAGCGTTGCGGCAACAATAATAAAACAAAAACAGCAACGCGCAGCAAGAAATGAAACCAAAATCCAAACAAGACGCAATAAAAAGTTGCAACTGCTGGCGACATATTGTTGTCCTGCTCTCAGTGCACCTGTCCTACTCCCACCTGACAGCCCCACAGCCCCGGAAAACTTTCGCGTATTTATTTGCGGCATTTTACGCATTTATTTGCTTAGACTTCCCTTCCACAATAGCTGTTTGGATGAAATATCCGCCACCTTTGGCCCCCGCCCTCTCTTCCACTTCACTTACAATTTGGAACACTTCCTGCCCACCCCATTGGAAAGGCACCCCCACCCCCGGAGCACAATGCCGTTGCCACTTCCGTTACGCGATTTTCATTATTTCCGTTTCAATTTTTCCGTTGTATTCCTTCGAACCGAACTTTTTCTTCAGTTGCTCACTTTTAACAACCTTGTAAAGTCGTAAAAAGTATAACATAAGCAGATAGGAATACAAAACCAGAATCTTCTTTTATTTTTCTTGTTTACATAAACACTCTCCGCAGCCCCCGCCCCACATCCACTTGAAACACGTGCGGGCGGCGTGCCGGCGTCATTACCTAAAAATTTCCAATTAAAATATTTAATTTCTTTCGCCGGTTGTTGTCGAATGCGTGAGTTCTTAGCCCAGCAGCCCTCCTGGAAAAACGCAATTTTCACCGCTAAATTAACAATTAAAAATTGATAGTCCTCGGGGAGGAAACAGACTCCTCAGATCTGCATATTTTTCATATTCCCCTGATGTCCTTAAGGCCACAGCTTAATGGCTGGAAACTTTTCAAATTCCATAGCATACTTATGGGCGTCGTTCTCAAAAAGCGCCATTTAATTGGCTCGACCTGGTTGTTTTTCAAGATTAAACATATTGTGGGTATATCTTGGGAATAAATTTTAAAGATCTTATAAGACAAGTTCCTAGTCAAAGCCAAACCATTCCCCGAACTGCCAAAAACTATTCTAGTCATTTCCACCACCCACCCAAAAACATTCACGTAAATTTTTACGAAAATTCATTGGGAATAAAAGCAATGCCACAGATAAGCATTATCTCATTAGCTAATTAGTGTGCAAAAATTTGCGCAATAAAAAGTTTTTTTGTTTGGCCAGAAACTCGCATGCATAAAAGTTTGATTCGAATTCAGAGTCCGGTTGTTTTTCCCCCAAACCACTCTGATTTTCTTCGTTGTGGCTCCTCGTTTTACTGCTTTTCCGCTTTTTTTTCCAAACCCACTTTTCCCCCACTGCCGCTCTAATTAGAAAGTTGAAATGCTAATGGCGAAATTTTTGTATTGTATTTGGTGTATTTAACCAAATTGCAATTGGTATCGCAGCAAAGGGAAATTGCAGCAAAATGTTTAATGAGTAGGTGTGAGATGGAACAATTTCCGGAGTTGCATTCACAAGCCTAACAAAAGCAATTTCCTCCCATCATCAACAACGACATCGAATGATTTATGAAATGAGTGATGGGAGTCCCAGACAGGCATAAATGAACGGTAAATTATTTACACTGGGAGAAAATAATTTGTAACTAAGTAATAGTGGATGTATGAATATGAACTTTGAGAATTGAAAGCCATGAGATCTAGTGCCTAAATATATTTTATTTTTCTCACAGTGTAGCCCAATAATGAAAATCAACCCACACACTACCCTGATCTCTCCATTGAATCAATTTTTAACTGGTATTATACAACCCCTCTACCATTGCAGACTGTCGCCCCTGAATATGCCCGATTATGCGGAAGTCGCCTGCTCGACATTCAAAAGTCCCACCCATGGGGCACCACAGCAGCCGGTGGGCGGTGGGTCCTCGCTCTACGATAGCTGTGGGGCCTACGCCACCACCAATGTGGTGGCCAATGTGAAGCTCTACCAGAACCGCTATGCGACAAAACCGACCCAGAGCAGCAACAACAACAACCAGCAGGGCAATGATTACCAATCGACTGGGATGTATTCGGCCCCACCGAGCGCTCATTACGGATGTTTGGAACAAAAACAGCAGCAGCAGCAACCAAATGTGATGACCACTTCCACGGCATCCACAGCCATTCTGACGGCCTCACCTGCCAAGCTGAAAAAGATCAACATAACCGAGAACCAAATGGATCAGATGGATGTGAAAACGGAGCGAACCAACCCGTTCAACCAGCAGCAGCAACTGCTCTTGGCCAGCAACGCATTGAAACAGGGTCTGGGCGCCTATGCCAATACCACACTGGCGGCCCAGATGGCGAACGGCGGCGGGGCGGGGACTCTGAGGCGGCAACGCCAACCGAAAACGCTCTACAAAAGCGAGAACAACATTTTGGGAAAATCCGGTTTAAGGCAAAACGCACTGAACACTAATGCGAATGCGACCATGGACTTCCTCACCGGTGGTCCACCGTCGGAGGGTGGGGATTTCTCCGGCCTGGGTCTGTGCAACTCCACCAATCAGCTGTTGAACGACTGGGCCTCGAGTGCCTCGATCGCGGCTCCGGGGGATTATCATTTCGGGAGTAAGCAGCCGAACAAGCAGCACTTGTACGTGAAAGCCAAGGATGGTACTTGGTCGGCAGTCAGCTCGGATGCGTACCAGTCCTTCAAGCACCAGCAGCAGCACCAGCAACACCACCAATTCCTGGCCGGCTCAGGTGACAACAACAAGTCCTTAGCTAGTGTCAACAGCTTAGCTGGCGATAGCAAATTCCTGAGTAGCTTCGGCTCTAGCTCCAATGTCTAGGTCCTAGTTTGAAACCCATTGATAAAAAGCTTGATAAAAACCAGAGAGTTGCTCAATAAATTAAAAACATTTTCCCAGAGGCACAAAGAGTGGAGATATAGCTTTGGAAGGCATATCCTTTTCTAATTTCACCTCCATAGAACCCTCTCACAGACTCCATCCCCCACTTAGCTATAGACTCCCTGCTATATCTCCAGCAAACTCTTTCTCGGAAAGTTAAATGAAAACCTAAAAATGAAAAAGCAACAACGAATGTATGTAGAGATACATGAAAATATTGGCTTGTAAATACAGTTCCCATAACTCTATATATAATCGTAGAGCCTTAAAGCATTTAATATATTGCATTTCGAGCAAGCAAAACCTTAACATTAATTTACACAAGAACCGAAACCGAAACCAAGTCAAAATAGCACAGAAGTAGTTAAAGTAAGTACAGCTAGAGCCCCCAACCGAAATCTTGCATAGTTTTAGAAGAAACTTGAGAGTTCTTAAAATGTGTGTTCCCACAAGGAACAAAAAAAGACAAAGATGTTAAAGCCAAACCAGAATACCGAACCCTAACGAACAAAAATAAACCTAACTTATACGACGCACGATGCACGATGCGAAAGAGGTAATTAAATGCTAATAATAAGGCTGTTAAATGTAAAATATCATAAATGATTCAATACCAAGCGACTAAACCTACATTTAAACCGTGTAATTAAAGCATTAAAATGTAATTTACTGACACTAGAATTAGTTTGAATAGCTAAAAAAAAAATCGAATAAAACGGAAGTAAAAGGATTACAACCACTATGCGTATAGCTGAAAAAAGGTAAAATAAATTAAATTAATCAATTAATTGATAAATTATGCAATGAGAAAAAAAAATAAAACGAAAATACTAAATGGAAAAAAATATTTGTGGTTTTGGGTATAACAAGGTTGATGTGATTGGCCAGAAATTACTTCAAAGGTCTGGTTAAAAATTCCCTTTCAATAGTGTTTAATAGAATCCCCTAGTTGGCAGGCTCCTTGCCCAAATAGTCGAATATTTGCGGACAGAGTGGCTCTAATTTGTGCGGAAATTTTCCATTTCAGCGGCCAGAACCATTTGGCGTCGACACAGTTCTGCCTATATGGTCCTGGACAATTCCATGGATTTTGTGATTTGAGGCCCCATTCCAAGGGAACGTACCAGGTAAACCTAACTATTTTGCGGCAGGGCCACAAAACTTTCAACTGATTTCCGGCGAGCGGCGGAATATTCCAGCCCGACCAGCTAATTAATTATGCACTTTGTAGTCGCCCCATCCGAAAGTCCAATTTGTCCTACAAAATCATTAATGTAGAGATCCAATTGAGGCATTGTTTTGGCCGTCATCCTCCCGCACATCCTCCAAAAATGCAAAAAGCTGCAATTGCAAATTCATGATAAACACGAATGATTTCAGTTTCCTGCCTATTTTTGGTTTCTATTGATTTTTTTGCTCCTTTCGGGAATTTTGCAAATTGTTACTGACAGTTTATGCATTGAATATACAGCCAAATGAGGCGGCAAAATAAAGGCTATTGAAATTAAAATATATATATTTGATTAAACGAAGCGTGATATCATTGAAAGACCCCCCTTTATCGTTTCAGTTGTTTGGCTTAATTATGTACTCTGATATTCCAGTAATTAGTTGTAATTTCCTTGACAGACTCAGAGCTCTGTGCTTTGTGTTTTTGGTTTTGGATAGTTCTTACATCTGTTTAAAATGAAATTGAAATTTTATTTGGCATTTTCACGGCTGAGGGCTTTAACTGCACTGCCGGCTTATTACCCTTGGATGAACTTTAAGCTTTTGCCGCTCGAACAACACCAGCTGCAGTCAGTGCCCAGTCTAATGTATCAGTGACCGGGCCCATGCCATTAGCCCCAACACCCCCAAATGGATGTATACATATATGTAGAGCTTAGCTAGCCAAACCGAAACTACAAATAGCCTCAGTGTCCGAAACACTCGCTGGCAGTGCGTGTTGGCTCCGGCCGCTACCAATTGCCACTGGCCAGTCCGATAAATAAGCCCAAATTTATCATGAACATGAAGCACACATTCCCACACCCATACCCACACCCACACCCATTGGCATTAGTATTGGCGTTGGGGCCTGGGCTTTGGACACTGTCCCATATATCGTGGCACTATAATAGCCATGGCAGGCTCATAATTTTTGGCACAAAATTGTCCGATAGGCGTTGAAGCGTTCAATTGAATGTCGTCTAGCCGAAGACCTTTCCGTTCGTCCTCAACGTCCTCGCCCACAGACCCAAAACACCCACCAACTATTGTATAATCAAAACTAATGGTCTATAAAGAATCAATTCTCAATTTGTTTAGCCAGCTGCTGCCCGATCCGAGCCGAGGACCGAACCGGACACTGATACAGGATAATGCTGCAAAATGCTTTCTCCCATTTACCCAACTAAAAAGTTTCCTCTATCCTTCTTTATCGATGTAACACATGTGACAAATAAAATTTAAATGCGTTTGGTAAATAATTTTATATTGATTTTGTTATTGAATGGAAAGCATATGTTTGGGCAGTAGGTATCGTAATTTTTGGCAAAGGATGTTTTAAATGTGAGAGCTCAGGCTCTAAAACTCTCATTTGTGCTATTCACTAGCATATGAATAGCCTCCCTATTAGCCATATTTGCGCCAAATTAGTGCCCCAAAAATGTTGTGCATCATAAAAGCATTTCAACGGGGAAGTGAGGACCAGAAATTTTTGATTCGATTGTATTTAGGCAGTCGAGTGTGTACTGGAGTGGGTGGCATGGCACTGGCACAGGCACTGATTCAGCAAATTTGCCATAAAGTTTAATCAGCAGCTTTTGGCAGAATCGCAAAAAACGCTCGTAAAAGTACAGAGACGGACTCACATGCGGAGACAAAGTTTTATGCGCATTTGAGTGACCATAAAAATGCTCCATGGACTCCACTGGAGTGTCCTTTCCGGCTGCAAAGCACAAGGATAACACAAGGCTAATATGGGAAGCAGTGGTTGATTGTTGATACAAAATGGAGCAGAAGCTATTTAATGCGATTAGCCACGAGCGTTTAGTGGTGGAATTTTCTCATAATTGGATGTTTGAAAAATGCCTTAAAAAAGGACGATCGTTAGATTTGTTAAACCTATGTTTCGATTGTTCAAAAATCAAAGTTCAAAGTTGGATGCCAGCCAGGGCACGTCCAAAGGGTTGCAATGGCTGCATATATCCTTTGACTAAAAGGAGCGACCTTTGCCATTGTTTCTGCCTCCGCACCCAGCATGCAAAGCAAAGAAATTTAGTAAATTGCCTTTTGCAGCCTGTGCAATTCCAATGGAAAACAACAAAAATAGAGAATTTAAGTGCCGCAGACACAGGATCGAAATAGAAAAAACTTTTCAGGAATTTCCGAATAACAAGCCAACAGGAAAAAAAAATCTAGTGGGGAATTTTCGTTTATTGTAAAGGCACAGTCCAGTCGGCCAACATTTTAATTTGTCCATTATGTTATTTTTGATTTTTTGACTTTTTCCCCCGGAATTTTCCGCAGGAGCAAACATTCAAGTTAATTGAAAATGGTCAGTCCTGTTTAGTTGGGGGGAGTCTCAAGGGTTGATTACACATTTCTCTTTCACTTTGGCCCCCAAGTTTCGGCCAACATCTCACTCGCACACTAATTAAATGCCCCCAACAGAAACTTTTGGCCAGTAAATGAAATTCTGGCCGTGGCTTTGGCTTCGGCTTCGGCTCTCGGCTTTAAATGGCTAAACTTACATGTCGAGTTAGTCAAAAAGTTTAATTTTCCCCCGTCCATCCGTCTGGAGCGATTTCCACTTTTACTTCTTCTTGTTTAGCTCGTCGTCGTCGTCGTCCTTTGACTTTGGTGAGTAATTAGTAAAATGCATTAAAATAAATGAGCTTGCAGAAGGGAAGTGGCCGGCAAGACTTGAAAAATCTTCAAGAAAAGTTACCTGCTTAAAGGGAAAATAAATGTGTTAGATTCTGCAGATAATCCAGAATTCGAAACAACCCATAACGAAGTTATCTTTACTTAACTGCAACAAATAAACAGCTTTATCTCTCCGAATACATAAAACGGTTTTATGACACAACTTTTCGCTTATTCAATCAACACATTACATTGTCCTGGCGAAAAGGATGAAAAGTATCTGGGCTCCTAGACGCAGGCGACATGACAACCTGGACACTCGACGGGAATGGCGGAAGAAGACAAAGCGTGAGACATTTCAACAGGCCATAAAATACATTTTGAACGCCTTTTGTGAGTCCTTTGCCGCGGGCCTTTGGCGTTGTAATTTCTTGAATGTGTCAGACATCGCCGTCGACGTTGTCATTTTTTGTCTCTTTTGCTCTTTTTGCCTTTCCATACCCAGCCTTCTTGGCCAACTCACTTTACGTCTATTCTAATTGCAAAATATGGCGACAATTTCAAAGAAGTTAAGGACATTGACGCCCCTTGGACTCGCTGCCAGGGGATAATACAATTTCGAATGACATTTTCGGAGCAGAATTGTAATAAATATCCAGTAGACGGGCAGTGGGGCTTCGTGGGGGAGTGGGAGGGGTCACCACCCCACTTAAACCCGCCTCGTTATGTAATGGATACTTAGCGACAGTCGAGAAAAAGAGCTCCCAGCACAAAAATGCAAACAAAACTATTAAATGAGCATAAAAAAAGAAAGATTAAAGATTAAGATGTGGACTAAAGAACTACCCTAGTTTTTTTTTTACCAAATCTTTGATATCCTCATAAACTTTAACTTTAAATTAAGAAGTAAATTAATTAAATATAAATTAAAACAATAGATAGGGTCAGATATACCCTAAAAAAAAATCACTAAAAAGGAAATCTTAATCTGCAACTGTAACCCCTGCCAAATGACAGAATCCCAGCACAGTGGCCCCTCCAAGGACTACCAGAACTCCCTGGATTCCCCTGTGTGTGGCTCCACTTTATGAAACGTTTTATTATACTAATTTGTAGGATGGCAATGGTCGCCAGTTTCGGTTACATCGAATGGCCAACTAAAAATGGCAGTTTGCCATTGCCTGAAATGAGCGTGGCCTCCACAGGGTGTGTCCTTCTGGCCTCCCCAGCTAGAGGCCCGCCCCCAGCAGCCAAATCCCACTTCAGTCAAGTCTCTATTAGCAGACAATGCTCTGGAGAGCTCCAGGAACACCGAAGAGGGCATCGCAACGAAACTGGCTCCGGTTTGATTCTCTAACGTGGCCAACAAAACTGTCTTCTAATACATATGGAAAAGGTAGTTATGGGCACTAGTTACAGGATAGCAAAGGCAATGGTCGAATGGGTGTCAGAGGTGATTTACACTTACGATATTTGAATGCTTCAACTTGAAGATAATATCCCTAGATGTAGATTGAATCTTTAAATATTCTTTTAAAATAATATTGTTGTCCTTTTGAATCTATATACCAGCAATTAATATATCTTTTAATCAAAATATTAATTATTTTTTTTCTTTTTGAATGATAGCCAAACTAACTTTAGATTTTCACTTTTCCTGCTCAGTCGCTCTAAATGCGCTCAGGAAAATTGTTTAAGTGTGCACGGGTGAGTGTGCCTCAGTTAAGGGATTCTCGCCAGGGTTTTATTAAAATGCCATTGCATGGGTTGGATGGCCAGTTGTGTTGGGCGGACAATGCACTGTGCCACGCACCGAGAAGGAGCAGACCCCTTTTGGGTCCCTTCGCCGCCCATGTACATCCAACCACACACTAAGACAAACGCTCGTTTGGTAGATCGTTAGCTTTGCATTTGAAATGGAGAGTGCAGAGTGGCGCTCCAGGAAGGAGGTGCTGGAAAGGGGGCTTTTGGAGCTGGGGATTGCCAAGTTTTAACGACTTTGTTTCCGTTACGTCTAATTTAATGAAATTCGTTTTGCTTTTTGGTCTCGCTCCTTTCGGTTGTGCTCCTTTTTGCCAAGTTTTGTGCATACAATTTTCAAAAAAGGAATTCTAATGACTTGGGCGTTGCTGCAAAAATCTTGGTCTGGGCCCAGTCTGGTCTCGGTTTTTGCCAACATAACTATTTTGTGTGGGTCTGGGTGTGCGGTCAGTTGTTCACTTCGGTCTATAATATTTTGTTTGGCTTCTGATTTAATGACGGTGGTGGGAATGCCCTTACTGGCTTTTCGTTGGTCTGGGGAAATGAAGACATTGCTGGGTATAATGATTCGTAGTGATAGGGAATGTGTGTTTGTCCACGAGCCCCGAGGGATACCAACGGAATGAAATGTTAGTGCACGGGGCGTACCCTCGATGGCTTTCGATGATAAACAAACGATTACCTCGAACTAAGCAATTAACTTACTTTCGTTTCAGATACTGGATGATATGTATGTGGGCTCTCAGCTAATTTAGCAAAAATATTATTTTATTGATTGAATGGCTTCTTACAAAAATAGTTGAAACTCTTCTGAAAACTATGGACAATCTATACCTGTATCTTTTTGGCGCCATCAATAGCTTGGGCACGAGATGACTTCAGACGTTCCATTTCCTTGGCCAGGATAATGGCAAATATCACAGCTATAACCTGGAAAACGGCTACAACCAAAAAGGGGTTCACAGTATTAAAATACCTCTTGAAGGAAAAAGTGTTTCCGCCGGTTTCCAGAAAGCGGAGAAACTCCACGACTAAATAAATAGACTGCATGCCTGCGTACTACAAATATTCACATTAATAACTAAAATGTATGTATATTTTTATTCAAAAATCCAAGACAAACTCACCAAATTTATAAAGAAAACAAATTGCTTGACTAATCCATAAATTCCCAATGACGCTATGACGAGTATGAGCATTCCCGTCGATACAAAGTGAGAACCCCAAGATCGGCTCAAGATGAAATATATACCAAAAAACTGCAAAGGCAAATAGCTTGTAAATTTTCTTAAAAAATATCAAATGAAATATTCAAATAACAAGCAGAGAGAAAAAATGTATGCATTTTTTTCCGCTCTTCGAATAAATTTATATATATTTTTTTTTTCTATATGAACACATACATAAAACGATAAATTTTAATTAAACTTACAATGAATATCACGTTTGCAGCGATAAGCGTATTTTTCAGGGTTTGAAAGGCGTAACTCAACTTCAAGTCTGGATCCATCATTATTTGAGAAACACGCGCCAACTTTGAAAGATTAAATTGTTCTTTGCTCTTAATACTGAGCGCCAGTAGAACGTAGACTGATTAAAAAATTGATTTGCTCTGTGTTTTTCGTTGGCGAGAGAACTTTTCTAATTTTAGAAATTGTTTTTGAAGATGCTGTCGTGACAACAACCAAATTCATAACGAGAAAAACTTTTTTCAAAGATTTAAATTAGCGACCATAAAACCTATGTATCTTCAGCAAGTTTGGTACTACACTGGACACTATTGATTATCAGGAAATGGGAGATTCATCTCCATCTGTATTGGATGCTGCAATGTCATAAAAATTTCAATAAAAGTATTTTCCCAAAAAGTGAGCATATTGTTTTTATTTTTGATTATTGCCATTATAAATATTATTATTAAAAGTTTAGTTTAGTACAAAAAAAAAAACTTTATTTTTTATTTAGGAATTTTTCACGAACAAAACATATTCATGACACAATTTTTTTTTTTTTTAATTTTGAAAAGAACAATGGTATTACTTTGGCAAATCCGGAAGTTACGTCTTAGTAATTTGAAACTATTTCCAGTTATGATAAGAAGGTAATTTTATATAAAATATAAATTAATATTAATTGACAAGGTTACAAGATAAAATAAAGGGGGGAATACAGCCTCCGAACAGAAACGCGCATATAGCAACAATTTGTTTTGTTTTACATTTTTCGTGTCCACCATTAAAAAAGAACAGCAATAAATAAGCTAAAATGTATAATCCGAACTGCAAAAGAAGAGGATATTAATAACATGAAAATATGTTTTGATAAATAGTTAAACTCACAAGGGAAACAGCTAATACATTGTCTGCAACGACTCCATAAATACCAATAATGGATATTGCTATAATAAACGCTCCAACTACGTATGGTCTCAAATTTGGTGTTCCACCAAAAAATTCAATTATTTCTCCAAAGAAGTCACCCACGGCTACTACTAGTAGGCCAACAATCTACAAAAATAAATATATTTAAAAGGAATTACTATTCAAAATCATTATTTCAGATAGACATTATTTTTCTTATAAAAGAAAATTCTATTAAATGTATTTCTACTAAATATTTAATTTCATTTTCACCTACGGTATTCACAAAGCAATATAAAAGGATCCAAGCCTTGATGAATTTTAAGCAACTATTTAACTCTTTAGCCATTATTTTATTGGTTATTGTTGAAAATGGTTAAACTTTATTTACGAGAAACGATCCGTAGCTCTTGCAAATCAAAACTAAAATGGATTGGGGAACATTTTTATTTTTCATATAAGGACTCTCTCGGATTTTTTTACAAAGCTTATCGCAACTCAAAACTATATACGAACTGGATTACGAAGAAACAAAGGTTTCTGAAACAAATGAAATATAAGTTTGCCTTTTCGAGAATGTATTTTTTTGAACATTTTTGTTATCAAATCATGGGGCGATTGTGAGTTTAGTGGTATTTTGTTGAGTAATGAGCCGGAACTGGGTGACGTAATCCCAAAATCTTCCAAATGAAGTCAATTCGTAGCAGCTTCAATTACGCGCCACCCATAAGTAACCACGGAATATCAATTTCTTTGCATGTTGCACTTCAGCTACGCCATAAACTTGGCCAACAAAAAAAGTGAATGAGAAGTGGAAGAAATTTATTCGCTAAGCTGCAACGCCTCAAAAGTTATAACTATTGGTGGTATATACACATTTTCGATGGGACGTAGTGGCCGGGAGGAGTAAACAAACTGATTTGCATTTATGGAAATGGCATTTTAGCACACATCTCACCCGGCGCCCCTTCAGACAGAACGTAATGGCGTAAAAATGCAAAAGGCAAGGAAATGTCTGCTCGACTTCGTTAGCCGGGAACGGGAGGCGGGAAATCCCATTCGACCAACTCGAATAGAAATGTCCAGAACCGAGTGGGTGTGTGTGTGTGTTTCTGCCTGTGTGTGAATGTGGCATAAGTAAATATTTATGTTTTATGTTAATGAGAATATGTCTGACTTTTTGCTATTTGAATATTGGCAAACGGTGGCGAGTGCCTGGCGCAGGACTTTCTCTCTTTTTACCCCTGCCCGGATGCACTTTTGTTTGTGTTTGCACTGGTTGGGTGTCCTGGCCCCAAGAATGACAAATGCGTCGGGAGCTGGTTAAAGCTGCGGTTGAAGCTTGCATATTTTCCGTTCAACCAAAAAACAAACAAATGCCGGGCTTTGTGGTTTAGGGGCCCATATGGCCCGAGGGCGTGGCATAACGAAAGTTAGCTGCATTACTTAATAGGCCAGGTCACATGACTTTCGCTGGTAGCTGCCCGGTGGCCCGGTTATTTGCCAATTGACAATTTAATTTGTCCAAAGTGCTTGTGAGGCTCACAGGGCAGAGGAAAGAGTATGTACTAAATAGATAAAGAAATATTAAATACACTTACTGTTTAAGGACTTTTCAGAGATTAAAAATATCGTAAAAGTCTATAAATAGGCAGACAAAATATTTGTATAGAAAAATTAAATCACTATATTTTATGACAACATCATGTAGGGACGTGGCTAGCTCATTAAAAAAAATGAGCTTTATTTTCCAGCTATTTAATCAATCAAGCGGTTTAAACTGCTTTTATTTCTTTTGTTGCAGTCCCATAAAAACTACCCACAGAGCATTCATTATTCGACATTTTTATGTTCATTTTAATAAATAATTTTTTTTCGTGCATATTTAATTAGTTTGTTGTTTATGGCTTCCATGAGAGTTGTTTGTTTTTGTCTTTTTTTTTGTTTATTGTTATTTTTTGTGGTAATTTGCGTTTGTTTATTTATTTTAACCTTTTTTTGCCGTTAATTTATTAATGCTGCACTGATATGTCGCTTAAGCTGACGTTTAATTAATTTTATTAATTTTTTTCCGCAACACTAGAGTATCAAAATAAAAAGTGCATTATTTTTGCGGCTGTTCGTGTTAATGAAAATTACATTCACAAAAAAAAAGTCAGTTGAAGAAAAATTTTGATCAAGTTGACTAATTCAATCGCAGCGTGTCTATAGTTGCAATATATGTTTATTTATTCAAAAATATGAAAATGTCAAAGATAGTTTAACATTTCAGATACCGAGACATTATTTCCGAATATAAGCCCTTATTCCGTTGATATAGTTTATACGACAAAACAAGTGAAGGAATACAGCCTCCCAACAGAGTCAATAATAGAGGTAGATCTAGGGTTGTAATAAAGAAACAACAATATAAAACCAGAAGAACGAGATAGGATAGTCCAAACTGCAAAATAGGATATTATTGTAGTACAAAGAATTTCTGGTATATAATTAAACTCACAAGGAAAATACAAATTACGTTGTCGCGAACAACTCCAAAAACACCAATAATAACTATTGAAAAAATCAAAGCTACTAGTCCATTCCAAAAGGTAACGTCCATATTTTTGTCGAGGCTATTAACAATTGCATTGTTTAACAATAGCAAGAAGCCAGCAATCTACAAATATAAATGATTTTTCTTATATATTTTTATTCCATTTTTCTTTAACACTCACTGTAGTTAAAATGCAATAAATTATGATCAGCGCCTTCATTAATTTCAAAACACCACTCCGCTCCTCGGACATTTTTTTAAATTTTGTTTAATCGTTGAAAATTGAAAATAAAAAAAATGTAATTTATTACTGACGACAAACGTTCCTTAGCCCTTGCAGATCAACACTAGAATGGATTGAAGAGCATGTATAGTACTTCTCAAATGTTCTTATGTACGATGAATTCTTATCATGGGTCAGGTTTTTATAGAAAGCTATCTCAAGGTTTTGATTTTTTTCTAATTTTTGATTGAAACTTAAGACAACAGAGATTAGTGGTATAAATAAATAATATAAATTTAATAAATGATGATTTGTGACTTCTATGACTAAATTTAATTAAGTTTAAATAATTAAATTAATTAAAATATCTAGGATTTGACTGAAAATAATAATAATTTTAGCTTTTAAAGCAGTGGGGGGTAAAACGCTTACATGTTTCAAAAAATAATGAGAACAGAGAACAAAATAATGAGAATAATGAGAACAAAAAATAATGAATGCATTAAACGAAAAACGTAGTTTTTTAATTCACATTTTTCAAACTTGTTTCAACCCAATTTCTGAGATAATTTTTCTCAGTGAAAGCATTTTGATTTTTAAGTTTGGGATGTCAAATGAGGCAAAATGGGAGCAAATGAGAGAGCTCCTAAAAATGGGGGTGCTCACACTGTAAGTGTACTGAATTTTCCAGCTTAAAGCACCCTATTCTAAAGCATGCTAAACAATTTCCATTTCGAAAATTAATAAATAATTGTATTAAAAACAAGATAGGCAACGCTTGTTTCCCTTTGCAAGGGAAAGGATATACTCTTGCAGTTAAGATCGGATATGTATCGCAAATATCGGTTGTAGTTGGCTGATCCTTATGATAATTTCAAAATAAAACCAATTTCTTAGAATACAAAATTTCAAAAAACATCCCAAGATTCTATCTTTAAAAATACTAAAGTTGTGTCATCCCAGATCTTTCAGTTATATGGCAGCTAAAATTTGGTAAACCAATCTGCAGGAAAATTCTATCTTCAAAAACACGAAAGTTGGGTAATTTGCGATCGTTTAGTTATATTGCAGCTATGGGATTCAGTCGGCAAAAAAAGTATCCATGCAAAATCCCAACTCGCATACCCAATCAATCAGTTATAGGGCACCTATAAAATATAGTTGGCCGATGCCGGCCTTTTTCACTTATGCGTGGAAAGAAGGGTGTGCGCAAAGTTTCAAGTTGATAGCTTTATAAGTGAGAGACTACTTAGTTCGCGTAAAAACAGACAGACAGACGATCTTGCTTAAATCAGCTGAGATGATCCTGATCGGGAATATATATACTTTATAAGAGATGTCTCTTTTGACCACACTTTTGATCAAAATTATAATACCCTCTGCAAGGGTATAATAAAACAAGAAAGGAAAACTAACTTCGGGCGGAGCCGAAGTTTATAT